AGAAAGTCGGTTCGGAGGGGAGGGGCGCTATTTCAAATCCGACAGTATTTTCATAAAAAGGGACGCCTAAAACATATTAGTCGACCCTCATATCAATTAAATCTGAATAGTTACAAAAAGTCGGTTCGGAGGGGGAGAGGGGAGGGAGGAAACGCTATTTCAAATCCGACAGTATTTTCATAAAAAGGGCCCCCAAAACATATTAGTCGACCCTCATATCAATTAAATCTGAAAAGTTACAAAAGTCGGTTCAGAGGGGAGGGGCGCTATTTCAAATCCGACAGTATTTTCATAAAAAGGGCCCCCAAAACATATTAGTCGACCCTCATATCAATTAAATCTGATAAGTTACAAAAAGTCGGTTGGGGGGGGGGGGAGGGGAGAGGCGCTATCTTAAATCCGACAGAAGTTTCATAAAAACCCGGATATGGAAGAAATCCTAAAATCTCAAAAAAGTTGCAATTCAGTGGTGTAATCTTAAAATGGAGATAATTTTCAAAAACTATGGATCTGAAAATATACACATTGGCCCGTTTATAGAAGAAAAATAAAATTAGCGTCAAAATATTAGAAATTTATTTGAAAAACGTCGAATAACAAATAAAAAGATAACAGATAACTTGAATTTATTTATTATCTAGATAAAAGATAAACACAATTATTCGTTATTTGTAGTTGAAAAGTTCGAATAAATTATTCGTTATCTATTATCTTTTATTTAAGATAAATTTTGCCCAACACTGTACTCTACCTACAACACTGTTATTGGCAACACTGTCAGATGTGACGTCAGTGATCACAACAATATATACTCCCTCGATATGGCTTCTATGTTTGTGGTGTTCTTCCACAATAAACGTTTCTGTATTGTCTGGGTTTGTTTCATAAAGAAATCCTAACCATTATTAACAGCCACAACCGTGTGCAAGGAGATGATTTGACTGTTATCACGCTCAACCGCCAGGTTTTATCTCTTAATCAATTACTAAATTAAGGGTGACCACTTGAAAGAGATTGGGTGTGCCACAGGAGGATCTCCTGATACCAGGATGGCCCCACGGCTGATAAAACAGAAGAAATATGTTTTTTTAACATGAACCGGGAACTCGAACTCGGAAACTTGAGCATTAGAAGATCAGTGCCCTAGTACTTCCGCATTTAATGAACTTTTTTTTCTTACACATGTTAACTTCGACTTTTTCGTAATGAGCCTTCTTTACCAGTTTTTGGACAGTAGTGGATCAATATTTACTTCCTCTTCATCAGAAACTTTTCTGAAGGATGGTTGGTAATCTTCCACCCAGTTTTTTTATGAGATAGAGGATTATAAGCCCCCAACCTCCAACCTAAAGAACCAGGAGCTATGGTGTAAAACACAGGGATTGCTTACCTCCCTATGAATCTTTGGGTGGCAACATTACCATTTCCTTGCAGAAATCGAATCCACACCGTATTGGTCTAATTAGTCGAGTACGGCTTATTAGTTTTAATTTATTATTAATTATTTTACTTTAGTAATTTATTTTTTAATATTTTTTTTTGTTATTAATTACCGTAAACGTGATTAGAGCACTTGATATAAAATTTTTGCAGGTGTTTTTTTTTCGTTTTTTCCCCCAACGAAATGGCATAAATCTGACTCCCATAAACATATTACAACTGGAAATATAAATTAAAAACCTGTTAGGATTATTGTTTTTCTAAATTATTCTATTATAATGTATTTCTCCTTTGTGATAGTTATTTGAAAGAAATGTAAGAAGATATTTTATGCTACAAAGAAAAAAATGGTTCGTATATCCAAGAGACATAATTTAAGCTTTATACATAAATATTTAAGCTTTATACAAGCCGCCTCCTTCTGGAATTCCATCCCTACACGCACAATCAGTTTCCTCTTTAAACACCTACTCCTTTCTCAATCTGCCTGATTACGAAATATACCTAAGAGAGCTATCTAAGTAACACCCGAAAATACTTCTGTTATTTTAGTTTCCTCTATTTGTACTATATATATTTACGCTTTTCATGTCTTTTTCTCTCTCTCCGCCTATATTTTTGCTTTTAAATAACCAATATTGTAAACATTTACTCTATTTATGACCACTTATACATATATTCAGCACTTATAATTTGTTCTAAAGGGACAACAGTGCCAGAATAATAAAACATATTTTCATTTCATTTCAAATATTGTATCCAAAAAGTGAATAATTGCTTTTTGTTTCAACAAGTTTGTAGCAATACTGTTCGTCTCTACAATAATAGCTATATTCATCATACTAGAAAAACTGGAAAGACTCTACAAGAAATTCAGGACCTTCTTGCGGAATGAAAAATGAATTCAAAAAGTTATTCATCATGTGAAAATGAAAGTTGCTTGACTTTTAATCTGTCATTAAATATCCATTTTAAATCTCAAAGAATAGTGTACAAATAAATAAAGTATACAGCAAGTAGTGTAGATGATAAAACTGATAATGAGCAGAAATGTAAAATGAATGAGATTAGTGGGAATCACAATATTGAAATTCACAAAAAAGTGAGTTCAATGCAGTCCACAGAAAATATTTTAAATTATTATAAACGAAAACGTGTTCACATGAGCAATTACATTATATATAAGTAAAAAACTAAAAATACTGAAGAGAAGAAAAAAACAAAATGTTTTTAAATAAATTAACTTTTAATTTCTATTGCAACATAAAAAAAAAAACGTTATGTTTTATGTAACTTTTCTGGTTTCCAGTTTTGAATACATGCAAGCACAAGATTGAATTGAAAAGCTCAAAACAATCGCTTCCAATAAAATTGTTCTTAATGTTTCTTTCAGTGGGGCTGTCGATATAGAGATGTAAATTATAAATATTTATTTTTCTCTCACTTACGTATATATTTAATATATAGTAAGGGTAAGTATTGCGATCGTGAAAATTTTGGAATCTCAGTTTTCAATGGAAATACGTGTTTTGAGGTCCCCTGAGTTCAAATAACCAAGTGTCGCAAAATGGTCTGTGTGTGTGTGTGTGTGTGTCAACAGTCTAGCCCATAAACGAAAAGTAGTACGAAACTGATATAAAGTATTTAAGGTTTGTATATGGGCCGGATGTGACAGCAACTTTTTCGTTAAAATCGGCTAACCGGAAGTGCCACTTTATATGAACGCTGAAACACATTTTTACAATTTTCTCAAAAATGGCTCTAACGATTTTGATTTAACTCGGTGTATCATTGTATAATTAAGTGGTCTTTAATATCATTTAGGTCTTATCCCCGTTGATGTCAATTTACAGGGCTTAAATGCCCAATGTTCATATATGTCTTACTCTAAAGTACCGTAAATATGGTTTATTTTAAAAAGTTAATTATTTCGCATTGTTCAGAATTACAAAAAAATGCTACATATAACTTTTGAAAGAATTTGATGAGTTAATAAAGGAGAAAAAAAAAATAAAAATGCAGAAAACCTGCGTTGCTATAGATTGTAGCGCCTAAACGAATGTTCCAATTTCAATAAACTTCGCTAAAAAATGGTTTCGCTAAAGTCATTTTCTCGACACCCTTTAAATTTATCTATATAACATACTTCAACGAAAAGAAGCTGGAAAAAAAGTTACGAGGATGGTAAAATTAAATTCCGAATAACTCAATAAGTATACACTTTTTTGTTGATACTGTGATAAGATGTTTCAAAGGTATTTAAATTTCCTAAAAAATGAAAGAAGTTTCATCGAAATCGAAGCACTAATAGTAGAGATGTCGCGATTTTAAAATATTTTTGGTTTATTATTACTTTCACTTACGTATATATGTAATATATAGTAAGGGTAAGTATTGCGATCGTGAAAATTTTCGAATCTCAGTTTTCAACGGAAATACATGCTTTGAAGTCCCTTTAGTCCAAATAACCAATTGTCGCAAAATGGTCTGTGTGTGTGTGTGTGTGTTAAAAGTCTAGCTGATAAACGAAAAGTAGTACGAAATTGATATTAAGTATTTAAGGTTTGTATATGAGCCGGATGTGACAGTAACTTTAATAGCCCAGCATTGCCAGAAAATAATTTCTATTCAAAGTAGAGCAGTAAGTGAAAGTTGTGTGTTGCGCGCACCAGATTTTTTATTTACATTTAACTAACTAACTCCATGGCGCTACAGACCGGTGTGGTCCTGGGCCGCCCCACTGAGCCCTCGCCAGATGACTATATCTCTCTGCAGCTCTCCGGTTGCGGAGATGCAATAATTCTCTGGCGTCCCGGACGACGGCGTCCTCCCATCTTAGACGTGGTCTGCCTTTCCCTCTTGTTCTGCAGAGCTTCCCATCAAGCAACTTCCCCAGGACTTCCTCTTCTGGCATCCTGGCCACATGGCCAGGCCAATATAGTAGCCCAAGCTTGATACACCTCAACACATCTATCTCCCCATACAGATCATATCTAGATCTAGATCGTCAGAAAATCCCAGGATTTGCGTTAATCTTTTAAAGATAGTGTCGGCAGTCTGGATCACGGAGTCATGTTTCACCTTCTCCACTGACGTAGTCCCTCCAGAAATGACGTAGGTGAAACCCCTATAGACCATGACAATTTAATGTTCACTGAACATATTATTTGCGACATTAATGATGAATATATAACAAAGGACTCATCAAGACTTGAAAATGACCCTTAGTATGGTCGAAACGTCGAATTAAATAATGTATCAATAAAATGTTTGATGATAATTGGCCTAATTTATGTAAAAATAAAACCTCAAGACAAGAAAATTTGGATAAATGAACAGAAGAAATATATTTTTGTTATAAAAGTCATTTTTATTTTCCTATTTCTCACTACTAATTATATGTTATAAAATATATCTTGTCAAATCAAGGCACACTTATAAAATCTATGCAATCAAAAACAAATAGAAATAATTTTAAAATACAAAAAAACTTTGGGTTTTTCCATATAATAACAATATAATAAATTACAGATCCATATATTAAAGATTCTTCAATTCTTCTATGAAAGAAGTTCTTCAATTTCTTGAAGTGTTTTCCCTGTTGTGTCAGGTAGAATGAAAATACCAAGAGTTGCAAATACAAGCATTATAATGCCCAAACTGTAATAAAAAAAAAATATTGAGCTTAGTATTATACATTTTTTTTATCAATAAGCCTTAATTGAGATGTAATGATATTGATATTAAGAAATCAATAGCAATGAGTGAAACTAATATTAAAAAAATATACAAGGAGACTACTCTTAAATTTTAACTAACACAATTTAGAATATCAATTGAAAAAAATGGGCAAATCTGGAATTTTGTTCTAGATAATATGAATTCACCACATGAAAAAAAAATCCAAAACATCATTTTTTTATTCATTTTAAGTATAAAAATATGGCTATATATTTTTTCCAAAATTATAAAAACAGAAAGAAAAAAAAGTTTAAAATAAATCTGGTTATGAGAAGGAGTTGGTCAGGGGTTGCAGTCAAGTAAATATTAAATTTTTAAAATAGTATTTTAATTATTACGCTGACGTTTTGACCCACTTTGTTGGTATTCATCAGGGTGTGGTATAGGGCACTGCAGGAAGCAGTTGATAGACTGCTGTCTATGTATCTAAATCTATTTATGTATAAGCAATATAAACAAGTTTTTTTGGAAAAGAAAAAGTATAGTAACAAAAATAAATATAAAATTAAAAACTACTCAATCAGTAAAACTAATGGAAAGGTAAAACTATGAACCAATTTTAGATACCATCAAACAGGTTTATGATGTATGCTTATTTTTTTCTCTAACATTTTTGTAAGCTACGATTTTACCCATTAGATATAATAATTAGATTAGTGTATAACTTTCGTGATTGGCATGTTAGACCTGATACAGTGCAGCATTACCCAACTTTAATTCTTTCTAGCATAAAAAAAATTATTGTTTGAGCAGATTCCCAATTTACTTCTTTTCTGTGTGTATTTTTGATATGTGTATTTATATATATAATAATAATACTAGTTGGCCAATGTGAATAATTCACATAGTATATTGGTGAGTAGACAATTGACAATATAATATAGAAATAAGTATAAGTCATATAGGAAATAAATTTCATTTCCTCAGTTAAATCATTGTAGTTCAATCACAATAACATACAAACCATGAATATTTTTACTATAAGCTGTATCTAGGCTAATAATGGTCCGTTTTCGAAAACTTTTTTTTTGTTTTGTAGGAAATTAAGTAAAATTTCAAGTAATTAAGGGTCTAATCATAAAAAAAAAATTTGTATATTTTTAATGTTATTCGCAAATAACATTTCTTTTTATCCTGAAATTTTGGAAGGATATTACTATGTCTCACCACTGCTCCATTTAATACCATTTTGTTTGATATCTCATTCATCAAAATCCATTGCTCTTGAGAGCCAGAGAAAGGATTGTTAATTAGAAAAACTATTGTATTATATATAAAGATAGATATGTAGGATATTAGACGAATATTCACAATATCAAAATTAAGTTTTAAATTCCATTGTAACATTTGAATCATGTTCCGAGTGTAAATTTATGCCTAGTATTTAGTACAAAAAATCATACTATTAATAAAATAATAATAATGAACTACAATAATGTGAAACACATTATGGTATAAATCTGAAAAATAATTAAATTTTAGAAGAAAAGTTACCCAAAAAAGTCAGTAGAATATCCATAAGCGCTTGCAATGATAGGGAACATTTGTAAGACACCAAAACCTATGAGCGAGCCGGAACAGACAACTATTCCCATTCCGATTCCTTTAACAGACGTAGGCATCAGCTCTGCTTCCATTGTGTAGACTAACGAACCCAATCCTGAAAATAGAGAAAGTTTACTAATTTAAATAATTGAATGTTGATAAAGAAAAACTTGCTTCTTTCTTAGTAAAAATATAAAATATCTCAGATCGTTATATTATCTTGACAAAGATGTGTGTATCTTATAAATAAAAACAAATATATTTTTAACATATTATTCTTCTATCTCTCTAAAGCAGATTCCATAAGAAAGCTTCACTGACTCCAATTTGTTAATCTTAATTGTTGAAGAAACTGACTTCCTTATTTCTTTAGAATGACATATAATAACTAAACATTGAGAGTCAAGAAACATTTCCATCTTATAAATAAGTAAAATGAGACTGAGAATCTAATTAGAAAAAATTATGTTTTCACTGAGAAGATGTTTTATGATGTTGATAACGATACTTTGATGAAGTGTTATGTAGAAGTTTTATTACTTACCAAAGGAATGAGAAACAGTATTGGCAACAGAAAGAACAATAGCTAGGTAACTGTAGTCGTAGAGATCATAGCCAGCTTTGATCACGTAAAAGTAAACACCCAGGAATATCTGAACATAAATGATACATTTAAGAAAAAGAATATATAGAATCTAATATAGACTGTAAATAGAACCAGTAAAATAATACTTACACATGTCAACCCACAGCCAAATGCAGAAATGACAATACCGCCTTTCATACCAATACACTTGTTAACCAACAAAACAGGGATAAATGAGAATAAGATATTAGAAAAAGTATTTAAAACACCAATGTAGCTTGCTGGAAAACTGAGCTCGAAGCTTGTGAAGATTGTCTGAGCGTAGGCCCATTGAACGACCAGGCCGGAGAGATAAGTCATAGAACTTAAGAAAATGCCAAGTCCAATTCCCTTTAAAGCTGCTCTGCGTTTCAACCCTTCCAGCCAGCCAATGGCATTCTCTTCTTTCTGAGTGATAGTTTTCTGAAATAGTCAAATAAATTTATTGAACATTTTATTTAGCCTAGTCACATTGTTCTAAAAATTTGAGAATGGTTACGAAAATTAGAGTGATATTTTTTGATAAATTGTCTAGATTGGTAAAATATTTAAAGATAACATTAATTTGAAAAGAGAGAACTTACTATAATTTCCTCCAATTCTTCTTCCAACTTTTCCTGCGTGCTGTATCCTCTTAACTTTTGCAGAGTTATTTTTGCTTCCTTTTTTCTTCCTTTATTGATGTGGTGAAAAGGAGACTCTGGGACAAAGAAGATGACTAAAGATAGCAGTGATAAGGACATGCCAAAGATTGATATGGTAGTATAACTGACGGAAGGTCCAACCAAGTACATGAGGAGACCTCCGAGTGACATCATCATTGTACTGGCTGCTCCAAGGCGCCCTCTGATTTCAGGCTAGAAAAAAATAAAGTTTATTGAGAAAAATGATTCTGCTTCTATAGCTAGATTTTTTTTCCACATTACAGTTACCCTGTAGTGGGTGCATATATTTCTACGTGTACCATCTTGCGATATAACGCGTATTGAGATACATCTTTAGTTTAATGACATAATACAGATACATTAAAATACTTTAAATATTTAGAAAATAAAATAAATAAGTATATATAACAAATTATAGTAATAAAGGAAGAATAATTAAATATAATACACTAATTGTGGGTTGATGGTTGGCTTTAGTGAATAATGAAGAGAAGGTTGGTTGGGATGATCAGTCAAAATAAAAATGGCAAAAATAAATAACAATATTTATTTTAACATTTGTCGAAGTTTCGAACTGAAGTTCAGGCCTTCATCAGGGCTGATCGAAGAGATTGCTTGAATTACTCTATTCAAGCAATCTCTTCAATCAACCCTGACAAAGGCCTGAACTTCAGGTCGAAACATTGGCTAATGTTAAGATAAATATTATTATTTATGTTTGCCATTTTTTTTTTACTGACCACCCTAATCATCTTCTCTTCATATACTCAAATAACTGAAATGAAAACAATAGTGATAAGTTATGGATTAGATAATGATAGGTGGAATATTTACAGCAGAAATGTGATACGACAGAATAGAACAATGGATTTACGATAGGAAATAAGGGTTTGATACAATATTTGCAATGAATAATACAATTTAGTAAAATAATTGATATAGATAGTGTTATTAAGGGATGGTTAGGCAATTGTTTAATTATTAAGTTCAGAGAAATCAATTTGTTCCACAAATGCTGCAAATTATGGGAAATATTTTATAGTATCTAGGTTTGACTTAATTTTTTGTTAGATTTATTTTAAGTTCATTTGATTTCGCTTTTCACCCCACAGTGCCTTTTAAGAAATTCGGGTATTTGCACTAGTTTACAGACATTTTATTGCTTTATATCTTTTAGGATAAAAAATATTCTATATATTAATTATTAATTAATTAACAATTTTATTTAAATTACATTAATTATTTAATCTGTTTCTGCATTTCAAATGATTCATGAAAGAGCTAGTCTGAATTGTGATATGTTTTTCAGCCACATTGCCCGTTGAGGGACATTGCATTTTATATGAGGGACTCAAGATTGCTTAAAAATCATAGACTTATCATCTTTAAAAATAAAATAAAACTTCATACTTACTAGTGCCACCTCAGATATATATACTGGGACTGCACTAATGGATCCACTAATTCCTAGGCCAGCAAAGAGCCTACCGATATAGATCACATAAACGCTCTGAGAAATTAATAATATGGTCCAAGAAGCCAGATAAAATGACAATATGGTGAATAGGGTCCCTTTCCTGCCGATGGTGTCTAGACAGAAGGTGGTGACGAATGGTCCTGGAGCAGCTTCAAAGAAGGCAAGAGATGTCACCAGACCTTGCTCCTGTACCGTCAAGGTCAGTTTAGGTAGGACTGGAGAGGACCATCCTGTCACCATACCAGTCGAGAGGTATATTGTGCTCACTGCAAAACACACCGTATAATTAAGTCAGTGTTCTTTGAAACTTTATTTATTAAAATTAAACTTTATTTAGTGAAAATAATTGAGTCTCATGCAAAATTAAATAAATTTAAACAAAAAACTGACAGAAGTGGGAATGTACATCAGGGTTGTTTGAAAAAAGAGTTGGATTATTCTGTCGGTAACTAACAGAAGAATTTAATCTGTAGGAATAAATAAAGTTAATATTTATTTTTGTACCATGTAAAACCCTTAAGTAGGAATTTTTATTGCATTAAAAAAATGAGAATTTTGAGTTAAATATTTCATCTTTTATTAATAGTTATTCTGAGATTCATTTGTTATTAAAATTAATTAATTTGTTTAATTAATTGAATTTAATTTGTTTATTTTAGGTATACATGTTAACCCAGCAAAGTATTTAGAGGATTTTAATTGTAATAAAAAAATAAAAATATTTTTCCCAATATTTCGCTTTGTTTGATATACCTTAAGATGTGGTAACTTTGGGATTGAGTGGGTAACTTTAGGACAGTTAGGTTTTATTTATTTCCATTTTTTTTTTTTTTTCAAATTTCTTGTTTTAATGAAACTTTCGCTTGTGCCTCAAGAACCGCTAACATCAGATTACCAAAGTATTATATCAGCAATGAAAAAATTCGCTTCTAATTGGAAATGGCCTTATACACCTAATGAAATTCAATATTCAAAGGACAAACTGGCCGGCGAGAAATTTTCATGTTGAAAGGGCTGCAAGTTAACAGCCATCTCTTGGCTTCAGTTAACAAAAACTAAATTTTACAAAGTGTTTAAATAATGTGTGTTACATTTCCTATTTGTTCAATAAATTTTAAGGCTTAATTGCTTAAAAAATTATGATTTGCAATGTTTTGTACCATTAATACTAATTTATATTTCTCATGTGCTCTTTAATCTAGTATTGTTGGATAAAATTGGTATATACTCATTTTCCTTGTTGTTTCTTATGTAAATAATGAGCCTATACAATATTGTGGAGTAACATTGGTACAAAATCATGTTTCCTGCCGTTTCTAATCCAGATTAAGAACTGTCCCAACTTTACCCCAATCAATGGGGTATCAATAAGAATAGGATAAATTATAATTTTTTTTTTTTTTTAGTGAAATTCCCTTGGTTGAAGAGTTATCGTTCGGCCATATTTTATAAGAGGAAGACTGACCTTACATATTAATAATTTTTTCTCCATTTTAACTTTGAAAATAAAGATAGAAGCAGCTTTAAACTTTGAAAAGTGTCCCAAAGGTACCCCATCTTACTGCATATAAGTTATCAGTGGCTGAATATGTGTCTTTATTTGATGATTAAATTATTTCCCGCAATCATATCTCAAGTGATATCAATAAGGACTAGAAGTGATGGTTTCATTAAGTTGTTGATTCTAAACAGGATTTTTATCAGTTCAAAAATAAAAAAGGAAAAAAATATTATGATTTCAATATGTTATTTTTATAAAATAAATATTTTTACAATAAATAAAGTGTACAAATATGAATATGAAAATTAATACATACAAAATTTAACTTAATTTACATTGAACAAAATTTTATGATTTATTGCTATTCGAATTACATGGTTTAATGGATATTGGAAAGTGAAGATTGATGATTATTTCATATGAAGCCAAAAATGAAAGGTGAAAATACAAAATTTAGAACATAAAAATGGCAGAGGGGGAAGAAAAAAAATATGTAACCTCCAAAAGGCAATTGTTTAATGTCAACTCAATTTACTCTTTAACACGTTTAGAAGTGTTAGGGAGGCATTTATAGAGTGTCACATAAGTAAAAGAAAATATTTTAAGGGGTAGCAGACCTCAAGTGATACAAAAAAAAAAATTGTATAAAAAATGACCTGAAATTAGGAATTTTCAGCAGGAAATTAGGAAATTCAAGTTTTGAGGTTTTTTTGTCACATTCTTTAATAAATATGAAGCGGTTACTAATAAACAATTGAATTTAACTAATTAAAAATTAATTCACTGGAAATTATTTTCAAATGAAAGTTGAATTTGTCATTGTTCAAAGCTTTTAAAGAGGATTTTTGAGTGGATGAACTATGCTAAGTTCTGTTTTTAAAAAGTTCATGAATTATTTACAATATTTTATCCCTCCACAAATATACTACAGATATCAAACTTTTAGAAAATACTTTCTTGTTTAATTAACTTTAAGGCCATATTAATTATGTTGAGGTTATTAAGAAATAAGTTGAGATTCACCTCAAGTTATATAAAAAAAATGGGGTATTTTTAATGTGAGGATTAATTAATTGATGTTATTTGTTGTTGTATATTCTACCTACAACACTGTTACTGGCAACACTGACAGATGTGACGTCAGTGATCACAACAATGTATACTCCCTGGATATGGTTCTATGTTTGTAGTGTTCTTCCACAATAAACGTTTCTGTATTGTCTCTGTTTGTTTCATAAAGAAACCCTAACCATTATTAACATTTATATCCTGCCACCTAAAGGGACCCATGTTTTCAACAAAACTGAAAAAATAAATTATGGCAAAATTTAAATTTTTTATTGTATATAAAAAGTGTATTTATGCAGTTATGTTTATTCTAATTCTTCTCAGATCATGAAAAAAAAGGAATTAAAAGTTTGCAATAATTTATTGTGGTCATTTTTTCTGAAAAAAATGTACTTTTAGGTGACAGAATATCAAAACAAAACATTTCTTTATAAACAACTTGAGGTTACTGTCAACTTATTTCTTAATAAGCCCTCAAATTAATTAATATGGCCTCATAGCTATTTCAAAAAGAAGGTTCTTATAGAAGTGGGATATCTGTGAAACAGCTTTAGGGTGGTAAAAATAAAAATGATCTTTTTAAAAAGAAACCTTTGATAGTTCATTCCATTAAAAATCCTCTTTATATACTTTCAATAATGACAAATTCTACTTTCATTTGAAGAAAATTTTCTTTCAAGGTAGTTTACAGTGGATTAATTATATATTAGTTAAATTGAATATTTTTTTAGCTATCGCTTCCTATTGAACAAAAATCGTAAATAAATTAAAAAAATCACTACACTTTAATTCTCTATTTTTCTGTTGAAAATCAAGCTATTGTTATATAAACTTTTTGTAGCTCATGAAGACTGCTATTACCTCTTAGAATATTTCTAAGAGGCACCCTAATTTATATTTATTAATTACTTCAAAATTAATTAATTATTATTCTTTCTTTTCTATATTGTCGGTCGGAGTAATATATCAGGAAGCATCCACACGACAAATGAATGCCTCTATAGTAATAAAAGACCACCTTGTAGACCAAAAACAAGATGAATAGATCGAATCAACAAAGATACAATAGAGCTGCTTGTAGATAACTGGAAAAATTTAGTCGAAGATTGATAGAGATATGGAAGGCAGGTTAGGGAGGCAAAAGATCTACAAGGTCTGTAACAAAAAAAAAAAACAGGAAAAAAATCTATCTTTTCATCTTGTCCACACCACTTATCTATTTCTTGTGCACTATGATCTTCTCCAGAAGGTTTCTAAGAGCACAACACAAATTCACGAACTAAAGGCATTATCTCTAGAAACAATTCTCAGATGGCTCCCTGCACATACTGATGGTTCTGCATTACAAACACAGCGGAGATGGAGTCTATTCAAAGGAGTTTTGTGTTTTAACTTACCCCGGAGTTTTAACTAAAATGCCATTTGTATATGGACCAGTTAAAAAAAAATGGGTTATAAGTCACTTTCGAGTGGATACCACCCATTGCAATATCAAAAGGAATAACAAGACTAGAATAGGATCTGGAAAGACCAAACCAGATATTCCTCCTGGCATAGATTCAGCTAGAAGAATAATAAAAGAGATTCTGCACAGTAAACCAAAGAAGAAATATGCCCAAAAAATTAAAGGGAAGCGATGGAGTGGACTACAAGAAGATAATGACAGGATCTCGATGAATATTTTGAACCATCAAACTTCAAAATTGATCCATCAGTTCGCTCGAAACATCATTCCATACTTTTTAGCGGACAAATCAAACAAATAACTCTTGTTTAGCTTTAATTTCAAACCACTCAGAGAATTTAAACGAATAATTTAAAATATCAAACATAAAAATTCGTCCACCTGTTCCCTCATAAAATCATTACATACCTTTTAGAATATTGATTAATTGACACAGTTTATTTAATCATGGGTCAGTGTTTTTAGTCCACATTGTTTCAAAACACTCAAGGGATCTCACCGAATAATTTGAGCCATCGAACTTAAATATAAATCCAGCCGTTCGCTTAAAAAATCGTTACAAAGCTTTTAGCAAATTTATTGAACCCATGTTATTTGATCATTGTTCAGTAATTCAAGCTGAACTTTATTCAAAACACTGAGGGTTCCTTACCAAATAATTTGTGCTAAACTTAAAATCTATACAGCCGTTCGCTTACATTACTTTTAGCGGATAACCCAAACACATAATTCTCGTGTCTCTTCGCTTAGTCGGGTAAAGAAAATCGTTGTTTATTATTATGTTTGAGATATGGATAATCCATCGTCTCTTCAATCATATCGGATGATTATTATAAGTAAAACAAACAATATTTTAATAATCACATATTTAATTAGTTTAGATTTCTTTGATGCCGTTGATATATTATTTTAAGACTTACCAGCTAAGACGACCAAATAAATTCTAAGTTGGGACGGTCGGTCCTCTGCTGCTTCCATGGTGGACGACATTCGATTGCCGGCACAACTGTTGTGTCTTGGAGTACATGTTCCGAGTGGTTTATATACAACCACTTCATTTCATCTTGAGGGTGCCATTAAAAAATTATATTAAATTGGTTAAAGATACCTAAAATATTGATTAAAATGTCATAATATGTTTAAGTTACCTAGATGCTGTTGTTTTGATAATTGCAATCTTCTCTTGTATCAATATTTTAATAAACTGTTATGAGATATAAAATGGCAAAATAAGTTTTCTGTACATTTTTAAAATCACTTGAATGTCAATTATAAAAATATATCTATGATTTTACAGATACGATTCTGTTCTTGTTTTTTAAATCTGAATTTGTGTTAGATAAACTGACAACATTTCAAATATATAACAATTAAAATAATTTAATAAAATTAAACCTTGCCAGTCCATCGTATGAGCACTAGAGGGTCAAAATGCGTTGTTGGTCCTGACATTGTTAAAAATCCAACATAAAGTATCTTAAACATTTTCAGTTCTAGTTATAAGGGTTTCGGCTATAAATAATCAAGATAAATATATTTTTAAACAATAAAGAGGAATTAGAATACGTGCTTAAGATTTGTCTTCGGTACATCCAGGTGGTCCCACCTTTACGAGTTAAAGTGGCTCTTCCCTTCTTTCCGCAGACACTATTTCCTTGGATCTTTCCTATTCCAAACGATCAACACCCGACATTCTTCCTACATCTACAGTCTCCTACAGTTTAAGTCGGTGGTCCACTCCCAGAAAACAAGATCCCGTGTTTCCGACCTTTATCTCCCTTCCCATAGAACTGAGACATTTGAATATTCCTTTATTGCCCGATCCACCGCCTTCTAGAATTCCTTGCCTTCTGAAATCAGCCATGCCTCTTCCTTGTCCTCATTTAAATATCATCTTTACCAATTCCTTCTCACATCCCAAAAAGACGTTATACATTGAAATAAATATTGCAAAACAGATTTTGACTGCGGTGAATGGTAGTTAAAATTGATAGAGTTTTAATTTTAAAAATCAACCCATGCTTACATTATTTTGTTTTGTTTTTTATTTAAATAATTTTTTTTTATTATTATTTTTTTTTCAAAATGGTGTTATTTTTACTTTAGTTTACTTTAGGTTACGTTAGTTTTATTTAATATAATTTTACTGAAGATACAATATATTTTGACTAATGTAATTTTTGGCCAGATGTAGTTTTTACTTCTTGTTCATATCTGTTATTCATAAGGGACCTCGTACCAGAATAAAGTTTACTTTCAATCTATCTAGAACTAACTCTGGCTGATTATCTCAAAAAGAGCGACCTAAAGAAAATTCTCTCAACCGTCCAATCTCAATTAGCAGTAAAATCCATACTCTTGGGTTTCCAAGTCTTCAGGGTGCATGGAGACTTTTCGACCAAACAGCTGTGGTCTTTGGCAGGAAGTAGACTCCCTAGGCCCTAGTCCGGCGTTCCGGAAACTGCGGAGCCCGCCGTGATGATGTGCACAGCATTGCAGACTCTAAGGATCAAGCGTGGAAGAAGGGCATCTACATATCCACTGAAAGTTTTAGTAGACATCCTCCTGTATTTACTCCTTTATGTGACATTGTGTGAGGGAATGAGAAGGAATATATAGGAATGTGAGGTTAAACAATGAATTGTACTCAATTGTGCAGTGGACAAATTATTCATTGAAAAGTCTTATATCGATGAACAATCCATGAAGGAGGAAGAAGGTTGGAATATGACGGAGCAGGTAGCAACAGCTGGAGAAGGACGCTGAAGAGAAGAGAAGGTACTCTCGGCCTGGATAGGAAGAAACGAGGTTGTCAGAAGAGAAGCCTACTACACTGAAGACTAAGAATATCAAGCCCACAGTTATAAGACTTTTATACATTAATTTATTACAGTTGTAAAAATAAATTGTTTTATTATACGGGAGTGAAAAGTGATTTCATTTAGTTGTCATATACGCCTCACAATTGAAGAATAACAAACCAGGTGAGTCAATTCATTCAAAGTGTATTTACTAAGTCCCACATTTCATATATATATATATATATTCTTATTGTTTTTTGTCACTCATTGTCACAAAAAGTAATAGATTCCTGAATTCCCAACAACAGTTATACACCCTCAATAAGTCTATATCCAGTGCCGGGGTTTTGTTTTAATATCCACGAGTGTAAATAAACAAGTCCCCCGATAAAAACGGAAGGAATATTTACAATTCTCGACAAAAAAGAATATTTATTATTAAACTTTTAACATGTTATTTTCAAAGTGATTTACTCCTCATGAAAGAGGAGATCGTGGACGGAAGGAAGGTAGCAATGGACCTTAAATCTTAATGCCATACTCCAGAGGTCTCCGAACGTTTTGGCCCATGGGCCAGATTGAGTCCTCTTCTAAGTCCTGCTTGTGATGAAAAAAAAAAAAAAGGTTATTCTATAAATTCTATTGTTCTATAAGGTTGTTTTCAAATGTAACAATCTTATCGAAGGAACTTTGGCAGGTCGGATTGAAGGTACGTGCGTCCGTAGTTTGGAGACCCGTATCCTAGGCGAAGGCGAGAATCCAAGAACTTCAATTCTGAAAGTTTACCAAGCGCCACCCTCGCCAAAATTCGTATTGCCGTAAGGCAAGTTAGAGTAAAAAATTTGGTCCGCACACCACTGTTACTTACCACTCTCTTCTTAGTGGATATAAGAATTTTCAGACATAGGGCAAGTGAAAGTATAAATTATTGACTATATTTATTACCATTTTGGGTATTTTTATTTGTTTAAATACTGTTATATATACATACATACATACATACATACATACATACATATATAGTTGGCGCAACTACCGTTACCGGGTCTAGGTCTCCTCCAAAGTCTCCGCCAGTTGGCTCTATCTGTTGCTGCAGCTCTCCAGTTCCTAACGCCGAGGAGATCGCGTGCGTCCGCTGTGACGGAGTAAGCCCACCTCACATTTAGCCTACCCACTCTTCGCTTGCCATGAAGCTCTTCAGCCAATGTCCTCTTAGGGATCTCGTCCTCCTTCATCCTTGCAATGTGGCCCGCCCATCGAAGTCTCCCAATCTTGATCCACTTGATGATATCAGGATCTTTGTACAACCGTCATATATACAGATTTTAATTTTTATATCGCTGTATTCTATACAATTAAATATTAAGTAATATCGACGATAATATTTGTGAAAATCGCATGTGTATATGCACATAATATGGTCGGAGTCCGTATAATAGGAAGCTCATGTAACGTATGAAAGCATGTTGTAATCTTTCGGACGAGCTCGGGTGAACTCGGGCAAGCTCGTATCTTTCATTCTTCTATTATCCGTTACAATCTCTTATTTCTCCTTTAGTTAATTATCAATTTCTTACATATTTTATATTTAACTATTTTTTATATCTAAGATTGATGTGAAATGGTTAATTATTTCAAATAAAAAGACATAAAGGTACTTTAGAGGAAGTCAATATTAGAGATTAGCTATTAAAGCCCTGATAGATAATATCAATGAGAATCAAACCTACATTATATTAATAATACACTGATATGCTGAGTTTAATCAAAATCGGTACTGCCTTTTTTGAGAAAATCGTAAAAAACAGTAGAAATGGCGATGGGGCGATCGCCCCGAATAAAAATATTTGGGGGAAATATCATTTAGCGAGAATATCATTCCGTCCCCCCTCCTCAATAATTTGAAGTAAAAAAAGTTTATATTAATAATAAATAAGCCACACGAATTAATAAAGTATGTAAGCGAAAATTGATTTATAAAATAAGATAAGTCGACCAGCATGTACCAGCTAGTGCTTAGTATTTTATCGTGACCTAAATGTTCCCGTTATTTAAATTGTCATTTATATTCAACGATAATAATATTTGTCAACATATCCTAGGATTTTATGATTTAATCATCTCTTATGTGCACCACTCAATTTTCACGTGGTATTTTGATCACATTTTCTGCGACTCGAAAAAAAAGTATAAACATATTTTATACAGGATTTTTTTATAGACATTATTACATAACTAGTCAGACTATGAAAACATTATATTTTTTATTGGGGTAGTACAAATTAAGAAATCGAAAATGTTTTTTTACATTATTCATGTTTAGCTGGCAAAGTTATTGAGGCTGTTTCTCTCCCTCCATGTTTAATGCATTCAAGTGTTTTTTACTTTAGATATCATCATCACAATCCATCCTCTTGAACCGCATTAAGCAGTGTGAGGAGGAAGTTTATAGAGCCTTCTCCAGCTCTGCCTGTCTTCAACAAGATGCCTTCTATCGTTCCATTGAAGACCTCTTCTCTGGAAGTCGCTCTTTATCTCATCTTCCCATTTCCTTCTAGGCCGTCCTCTTCCTCTCTTGCCGTCTACTTCAGCTTGATAGATTTCGCTAGCTATTCTGTTTGGTTCCGTCCGCAGAAGATGTCCTAGCCATCTCAGTCGATTCTCTTCAATCACATCATTGGCCGGCTTAATATTGAGGTAAGATCTGATGGTGGCGTTGCGTACTCTGTCTCTTCTCGTTTTCCCCCCAATCTTTCGGAGCAATCGCATTTCTGACGCTTGTATCCTTTATTGATTTTTCTTTGTCAGCGTCCATGATTCTGAAGAGTACGTTAAAATGGGAAGAAATGTCGATCTGAAAACAGCTACTTTAGTTTTCTTTTCCACCTCACGCCTGTTCAGAAAACCTTTCTTAACTGCTTCAAACATCCTGCTCGCAGTAGCGATTCGCTTAGTCACCTCTGAATCGATGTATCCATTTTCATTAAGGTGTGCGCCCAAGTATTTGAAGTTTTCAACCTGCTCGAGAACTTTGTCTTCGACTCTGATGACGCTAATATTTCTCCTAGGCTTCTTCCCAACCTTCATTAGTTTCGTTTTTACTGGGTTGATAATCATATTAATCTTCTGCAATTCTTCTTTTAATTTATTAATATTGTACTACATATATATATTTTTTTCTTTACTCTT